CATCTATCCATTTTTCATTTTCTACTCGGTTTATTATCTCTACCTATTCTTATGCTTACCTTTCATTCATGTCTTGCAAATCCACCTGGTATTTGTCAAGAACTTTTTTCTTATATTTCCGAAGAAGTTCAGCAAACTTAACCCGCATCTCTTTTACCTTCGCCTGCATTGCCCGCTTAGAGTTTTCTGCTTCAGTTTGTTGCACCTTCATCTTCAGTTCTGACTGTACCAATCTATTTTTATCTTCTTCCAGCGTTTGATACTTCAGCCTCAGAATGCTGTACTCTCTCATGACTTCGTTCAAGGGAGAAATCTTTTTTGTTTCTTCTGTTGATCCTAAAACTTTCATAACTGTAGACATGAGAGAATAAAGGTTTTGAAATTATAAAATTTAAATCCGCGTTTATTTTACTGGAGTACATAGGTTCGTAGAAATCGTCAACTTCTAAGTTCACAAATAATATATTGTACAGCTGAAAACCTCTGTTGAACGACCACCATATAAGCGACCAATCTCTTTCTAGTGGAAGTCGTTTAAGTCCAAACAGACTAAGAGGAAGTTTACTACAATAGTTTATACCTCTACTTTAAGCGGCCTGTTGTCAAATTCCCCAAAAATAATAGGGTTTTTGGCACTGATTTATACCTAACAGCTCCATTAAGCGACCAAAAACTATTCATCGGAGGCATATATTTTCCGATGGTGGCCGCACGATAGAGTTTTGGTTCTACTTTAGTAATACCTTGTCCATTCTGGTATTCTCTATACTCCACGGCGCCATTAGGCCACGTGAACATGCCACACCCACTAGGTTCATCCTCGTCCCATAATCCCTCTAGTACCGAGCCGTCTGGTGAATGCATAGCACCTACTCCTGACATGAGGTCATACTGCCATTCACCTTCGTACACAGTACACGAGGCGAACACTAGACGTCCGTGACCGTGCCTGGAATTAATATTTAACTTTCATCAATTTTTATTTTTGTGTTTGTGTGTGTGTGTGGGTGTATGTGTGTGTGTGTGTGTTTTTTTTTTTTGAAGGGTACAGTTTCGTTCTCAATTCCGGCTCGCTGTTATGCAGTTCTAGAAAACTTTTTGGAATTTCCTCTAAAGATTATTATGGGAAGCCATTTCAATGTTACATATAGAACTCTTGCATGTGCAAAGCAGTTCGAAGAATTCCAATCTTTTGATAATTGAAACATTCAGCTGCATTCCGATGTGCTGTAAGGGTTCTATTAGGAAAACGATTTAAACGATTTACGTGACATCGAAATGGCTTTCAAATGAAAATCATTTAGCGAAATAGCCGATAAGAACAATTCTTCTGGAAGGCATTTCAGTGTTACATACGAAAGCTAGTAAATGAACAAATAACATCAGAATGGCTTCCACTTGGAACCCATTTCAGTGTTCTAAGAAAAAATGTCCATAGTAAGCCATTTAAATGTTAAAGGATACGACACGGTGTACGTAATCACAACCATTATTCATGGAAGCCATTTCAATGATGTACATACGATAATTATTTTAATGACTCATGCAACATCAAAATGGCTTCAACTCGGAGCCCATTTCAATCTTGCTCATGACAAACAATTTTTATGGGAAGCCATTTTAGTGCTACAGCATTACACGATCACAAATATTCTCACTTAACTATTGCCAAACATACCTCATGTTATTCCACCATTGTCCTTCGTAAATTCCATATTGTTTTTTGCTGGCACTCAGTTCGTGTCCGGAGAAAATGAAAGCCTTCCCATGACCCCACCTCTTACCTATGAAAGAATGGATAAAATTATGAATGGGAAACATACTGTGGGCTTTCGTCCGCCTAWGCCAATCAAAAACGAGAAGAAAAGGCATATTTACCAATCATAATACAGTATTGTATCCCGACTGTTGGAATCAAATAGTTTCCGTATCCAAGCATTTTGAATGACTGGTGCGCATTATTGTGCGTTCTGATTGGTTTAAGCATTACGGAAGCCATTACACAGCCAATAAATTAGTAAACTTGTCCAAGTCGTCTTCTCTAGTTTACAGAGAGAAGAAAATAGAAAAAATATCGATAAAAAAATTGCCCGCGTGCTATAATAAGCTAGCAAAGCGCGCAAATTCGACAGAAAACTTTTCGAAAGTCTAATAAGTTGGCCGCAGCGCGTTTTCAACTAATAAAAAAACTGTTTTACCGCTTACCTTTCTTCCACTGTCCTTCGTATATCAAATTCCCATCAAGACTAACCAGCTTTCCCTCTCCGTGCGGAACATAAAAGTTAGACGTCTGAAAAAGCGATTCATAGCTAAAAATACGGTCCTCGCCACATGCGTATCTYAGGTTTGAGGAGTAGGGATTGGACAGGTGAAGACAGACCAGTGACTGTGCAAACTTTGTGTGGTTCATGAGAGAACGGCTTTCGATCAGGAGCTCATCCTTGTCGTAGATCATATGGCCGACACTTTCTGAGCGAGAAGAAAAGAATAGACAAAGTTGAAGAAAAGAATTGTAAATGTAAAAATCATATGTTTTTACTCCCGGCCAAGAAGGAAACGATGGCTCTTTACCACACACACACCCGTAGATTGAAGCGCGTTTGCGTGAGCTGTGAAAAATTGAAGGAACATGCAAGTATGCTGTGCTGTGACTTCGAGCATTTTGATTGGTTAAGGAATATTATTGCGCACTGTGATTGGTTCCTAGGGATATCGTCAACAATTCTTTACCGTAACCGTACCACTTTACAGTAATACAAAATCTATGTTATTTGATATGCAAGAATGTGTAAGCTGAACAATACCAATGTTTTGGAATCCCACAGACTTTTGATGGTGTCTGTGAATAGCTGATAATAAATGAGGCTAAGCCTGTGCAAATGATTCTGTCTTCTTCAAAAACAGCGGTATGCATGGAATGTAGTTTTACCTTTGTAGCTGTATCCAGGGTCTTGTCCATCTTCTTCTAATCTACCTGCCTCGCTATCCAAAGCCACATCCAAGCTGTGATGGAGTCCTAACTGTATATCTGAACACCTCAATAATGTTTCAAGAGGAAGCAACAATGATTGGAGATCGTCAGATTCTGCATCGCTTGACAACTGGTTGGATGCGTGAAGCAGCTCTGACTTTGATTCTTTGCTGCGCAGCTTTGTGACCAGAATGACGTACAACGAGTGCTGGATCTGAAAGCACTTTAACTGTGCTTCTAGGAGTTCTTTCGGTAAAGAATTCGAATTCTCTTTTTTTCGAGCCTCCCGCCTCGCTTTACCACGTCTAGTATGATTATCTCCTTCATCCTTTTCGAATTCTCTCACTTTTTTCATCGTGGTGACATTTTTCCTGTCATTTTCCTGACCACTTTTTACGTTTAAATCATGATTGTCCTCTAGACTTGAAGGAAATGGCAACTTAGAATAAGCTCCAACATTATCTTTAGGAACTCTCTCTTTAGCGGCGGCCTCTGGCTGGTCTTGTGCCTCCCAAAATGATAAAGGCGAAGAATTATCAGTCTTCTTCTGGGAACCAGTATTCCAAATATTACCTATGACAGGCAAAGCATTGTTGAGCAGTCCAAAAGACGTAGCTGATTTTGCATCTGGTGAAGTTTTGGGCCCATTTTTCTGGATAGTTGTAGATGCAAATGGGATCTCTGTCGAGGACGACTTACCAGCGCCATTACCCCCAACAAGAACATTTTTGAAAGGCTTGGAAAATGCAGACGATGTAGTGCTTAAGTTGAATGACGGGAGACTCTTTGTGCTTTGAGTTTTGGGTGCTGAAGTTTTAGAAAACGTCGAGGTTGTGGTAGAACTGTCTGTCGTGCTCGTTGAAGTTCCCGGCTTGAACGGCTTGGAAAAAGCAGACGGTGTAGTGCTTAAATTGAATGACGGGAGACTCTTTGTGCTTTGAGTTTTGGGTGCTGAAGTCTTAGAAAACGTCCAGGTTGTGGTCGAACTGTCTGTCGTACTCGATGAAGTTCCCTCAGCTGCACTGGCAATTGTTGTAATGCTGGTTGTACATGTACCAGTTGTGCTTGATGAATTGAAGTGAAGATCCGCATCTTTCAAGGCAGAAAATATATTCAAACAAGCAGCTGTTTTCTGATCTTTCTTAGGGCTGCTGCGAGTTTGGGTACGACGTCTTGGAAGGTAATGGCATGGTGTTGTTCTTGCAGCTAGTAAAGAAAAGAATTTGATTTTTTTATTGCACTTTGACGTCACAGCTTCTTCCTCTTTTTGGTTTTGTTTTGTTTTTCTTAAGTCTCGGCATAGGGGCCCGGCAATTTCTAATTTTCGGCGATTTCTCACCCAAAACAACTGTTAGGCCTAGGGCAAATGTCGAACTTTCCATGCACCGAACTTAATTACATCAAAGAATGCCGCCTCATTATCACCTGATATCCATTGTTTTTAATGAGTTCGGTGCATGGAAAGTTCGACGTTTGCCCTTGGCCTTAATCGATTTAAATAATATATGTATATATAAAGTTATATAAATAAAGAAAAATTATATTCTATTAGGATACTGTTAAAAAAGTATTCTAGTCGAATGGGAAAAAGAAATGCGAACATAAATACATATGAGTATTGAAATAAAAATGACATTGGTTCGACTATATGAGGAAAACGTTAAACTCGAGAAAACATTGTCTTCACCGCACCCAATAGACCTAGGAGTTTGCCTGTTGATGGATGGCCAATACTTTAATTTTTTTACCAGTATGGTTTTTCTAAATTTTTTTGAAATCTTTCAGCATAAAAACACTAGCTATGAACATTAAACTGAAAATTGTAGAATAAAAGCTGCAAAATCGGCATTTTTAATTTTTCGATCCGACATCCGCTGTCCAGTCCAGTCCAACTACGCCCGGTTCCTGATTTTCCAAAATTAAAAAATGCCTCAAAATTCAGAATTTAGAAGAATAAATCAAATTCCAGAGGTTGGATATGTTTTTACTATACATCTAGATCAACTACATCCTTTTAAAGGCCGAAAATTTTTAGATTTTTTTTACAATCCAAGATGCAAGTCAGTTGAAGTCCAGACCGTGAGTCAAAAAAATAGACAGTCCTTGTAATTTAATTTTTTTCCATCCAATTATTTACAAATTGGACAGCATGTATAGTTTACTATCTGTTATTTAAGCGTCTGGACCCAATGTCTAGTTACACAGAGAATAGCCTGGCTTGTGCCCGGCAATGGCTGCCTCTATGATCATGTCAGTAGGGAACTGAGACTAGAATTATTGCATATTTTGAAATATCCATGTTCGTGGTCTATCTAGTTATATAAATTACCATTCTTAAGTTCATCTTTGATTAGTAAGAGCTGTCCAGTGTAAAGCATCGTTTCTCCTTGGTAATTCAACCAGACTCTCATACTATCGCACTCATAGCGCTGACCATCACCAGAACCATCTTCATCAATAAGTCTTATATTTGGAGACATAGCTTTGGACTCCTAAAAGACAAACGAAGAAATTCAAAATTACGCTCAGTTCAGACAGAAAGGGCAGGGAAAGATGAAAATAGAATATTTGTTTACAGTTTACAAATAAGGTCAAATAATTTATAGGGAGTGTTTCTGTAAGTAAGGTATTATGTGAAAAAATGTAGTATTAAACGCGTAAACTTTGCAGAGATTTTCAATCAAATACTACGCGAAATTTATTCCAGGAATACTGAAAACCTGATAAAAAATGCAGATTTGTAGATAAGGACTCAAATAAATTCGCAAAAGGGATACAAATTAAGAGATAATCAAGAAAACAATAATGCAATAGCTTAAATTTTCCAGGAAAATATCTCAGTTGGATCTCAGCTGTTTTTCTTCTTTCGTGAAAAACATCCAAGTAAACTCCACAAATGAACAATGAATTCTACCAGCTGAAAGACAATACCCTAGGTACTTAATCCTAGTGCTTTTTTACTTACCATTTTGTAAAAATAATAAGGTTTTTAGATCGAAAAAAGTGTTTTTTTCCAGTCTACATTTTTGAGTTCAAAAAAAAACCCGGAAGTGACGCTAAAAACCGTGAGGGATTGAGACTACACTAGTATCCAATCCCTCTCCACTGTGTTTACAAAATGGCGGCTATTGAGTTTGATTGAGAGATTGAGGTATTTTTTTTAGGAAAAATGTTCGTTTATTCAGTCCGATTTTTGAAAAAATAACATTTCTGTATTAATGGGGCTAAGGATTTATTCTTAGATTCTGAGATCTAGTATTTTTTTATCATTTTGAGGTGGATTTTATTCATTCGAGTTTAGATCACTTGACCACATGGGATGGGAAATGCATCATTGTTCTTTTCCACTTTCTGAATACATCTATTCCTTACACTTAATTTTTAACTCAAATAGAGTTGAAAATACCTGAGAAAGTACTTTGAAAGTTAATTTATAAATGTAATTTCATCTGTGGCTTTGTAAATAATAACAAAAGCTTTCGCTGAGTAAGCAGTTTTCCGAGACAAAACATTGAAGTGTTATAAAGTCTATATCGATATTTAAGAGAAAAGCAATGCTTCGTTCTTCAAGTCTTTATTTGGTTATCTTCTTCTGGATTCTGGTTTTTATCATTAATGCTTTACTCAAGGTTTGTGGAAATCATTCTTGTGTGTGTGTGTTTTTGATGTAAATAACAATAAAGCATCCATCATGTTGTTTGATGTGACAAAGAGTGACAGTGTGGGGGGGGGGGGGGGGGGAGAATAAAAGGAGAGAGAAGAAAATGGAGCAGGAAAGCAAGCATTAAAGGGGATAGAAGGATGAAAGAAGTAGCTATTTCTTTTAATCCCATCCTTTCATTTCCTTTCATTCTATTAATTTTCAGGTACATCCTGAAGTTCAATTATTGTGTCAATAATTGAACTTCAGGGTATACTATAATACTTAATAATGATGATGATGACGATAAAAAAATTAGCAAAAATAAAATATTAAGTTATAACAGTATTATCATTATTTTATTTTTAGAATTATAGAAGGTATTCTCGCAGATACGAAGAACTTTTAGAAGAAAATGGCATCTCATTATTGCCATGTCAGATTCGTTGGTACACAACACGATTCAACAGATGGTTTATCAAGCTCGGCAAATTCCATTCATATTTTCTACATATTTGGTTCACAATCGGCACATGGGTTGGTGTGTTTATGATGTTTGTGTCTGTTGGAGTACTGTCGTTGACTCTTTATAAAGCATTCACTAAAGAAGCACCTGAACAGATCTTAACACCAGTGGTAAGTTGTTCAATTATAGCGCAAAGCTTTGGAAACAGTATATGATTCCTTCCTGCAGTCAACTCTCTCCTTGCGGACACCCCGATATTACAAACAYCTCACTATTGTGGACAGAAGCAAAATCCCTGATGAAAAATAATGACAAAGAAATGACTGTAATTAACTCTCGCTATTGCGGACACTCCCTATTACGATTTTATTTGTGAGTTAGCCATACCTTGACTCTAATCAACCTTAAGGTTGTCTCAGGATTGACTTTAGCCTAGAGATTACTTCATGATCAGCAAGTATCAATAAAAGTTCAAGGCTTTTCATGTTGATATATGGTATTCCAAGAATCAACAATTCAATGCCCATAATAATTTAAGATTATCATAATTATTTTATTTTATCTTAATTGGACTTTCAGATGCCTGGAGTCAACCTTCCCTGGAGTCAAATTCTATATTATTTGATAACCCTTGCTATTAGTGGGATATACCATGAAATAGGCCATGCCATAGCTGCCGTTAGGTGAGCATATCAAACAATAGAGGTTGCACCATCCATGATGTCAGCCATGACAGGAGGTACAGCTATAGTCTCTTTTTCCCAAGGGAACCTGACGTGAGCGTGCAACCCATGGGCAAATGGTCCATGTTTTTCAACCAATCAGATTATACTATATTATAAGACCAGATTCAATATTGTTCCTGCCTCCTGTCATGGCTGACATTATGTGATGGTGCAAAGCCTCTAATACCTCATTAACCTCATCCTGTTGGCAAAGACACCTCACCTGTCTCTATTCAGTGCCTCTGTTGACCAATATTCTGCAACCATATTAAGCCATTTTTAACCTTTCCATCCCACCCCTTCCCCCCCCAAAAAATTGTCAAACTCCTTTGTATATGCTGTTTTATTATTTTTTTAGAGAGCAAGTTCGTGTCAATGGTTTTGGCCTATTTTTCATGGCCATCTACCCTGGTGCTTATGTCGACCTTCATACTGACCATCTCAAGCTGGTATCATCTCTTCGGCAGCTAAGAATATATTGTGCAGGGGTCTGGCATAACATTGTTCTAGCCCTCTTAGGGTTGCTGTTGCTATGGCTACTTCCATATATTATTGTACCTCTGTATATGACTGGTCAAGGTGCAGTAGTGAAGCAGGTTATGAAGGTACTTCTGTTATGGTCATCATTTGATAGTAATGGCTAGCAGTGGACAGGAGTGGGGGGGGGAAGGAGGGCATAGGTTGGTGTGTGATGTATGCTGTAGCCTGCGTAGCAGCTCTTGGGGAGGGGGGTTGGGGCAAGGGGACATTGTGTGCTGATGATATGTGTCCTGTTTCGCCACTCTGGTCTTCCTTGGTTTCATCCTTGGGTCTGCCTGTATGCATAAGGAGAATTGCTTGTATTGCTTGTGGTCATTCATGGACTGTGTAGTGGCTACCAGAGGTGCCTTCTTATCTTCTTTTTTTCTTCGTTCGACCCAGTTGAGCTTCTCCACTGCTGTACTTGTAGTGGTGATTAGCAATAACAAGGCTTTTGTGTTGGTTCTCTACTTTGATTCAGAGGTTTTCTCCACATTTTGTATTTTTTTTCCCTTCATCTAAATATCAATACGATCTTTCGGCAACCTGTGCCTTCACCTCCAGAGATGAGAACCTAATTTATTGTCCCACATTGCAAAACTGAAAACAAATAAATAAATAATGTTTGACCTTCTCACTTATGATCATGTAAATGCTGTTTTGCCATAGAATTCTCCAGTGTATGGTAGCATTAAGAGGGGGGATACCATACTTTCAGTATACGGATGTCAGGTGTATAACAAAGATGACTGGTTTCACTGTGTGTCTAAGACTCTCCTCAAGCCACAGCACGGATACTGCAGTGATATGATCACCATTACCAGGAAGAATTCGTCTACTGGTTAGTAATTTTTGATATTCCTTTCTATTCTAATGATACTGATAGGTTCCTACTTAGTTCCTAACAAGAGTGTTGGGAACCAAGTAGGCACCTTAATTCGTCCAAAGATGCCCCAGGATGGCCCACTCTTCTCCAGGATGGCCCACTCTTCTCCAGGATGGCCCACTCTTCTCCAGGATGGCCCACTAATTTCAGTTCTGTCCAAGGGTGTCCCATTCTGCCCCAGGGTAGTCCACTCTGCCCCAGATGTCCCAGGGTATCCCAGATGTCCCAGATGTCCCTGGATATCCCAGATGTCCCAGATCCTACCTTTGGCTTCCCAGTACTGTCCCAATCTTATGATCCTACCCAAGGAATTTCTATTAATGTTTTTTCCATTTTTTTTTTCCATTTGAAAGGAGGGGTATATGTTGATGGAGTGTTTGATTGCTGTAGGAATGCCACATCTTCAAGATTTTGTTTCACATACCAGTCAATTAGCCAAGCTAAGGTAAACTTAACCAATATTAAAACAGAAGGAAATAACTTGAAAACTGAAATCATCAAGAATTAAGGAATGGCTATTAGCTAGTAAAAAAACAAGAAAATTGGAAACATTTTTTGTGTGGAATTTCTTTACCTTCCATCTATCAATCTATCCATTCATTCATTCATTCATTCATTCACATTTTCATTTCACTAGGGATATGCATGTCTCCCTGCTCGTACCACGATGCAGACTAAAAAATTTTGCAATCAACCAGAAGATTGTGCAGGACCAGGTATGACCATAGAGAAATAACTTTCCACACTTTAATATATTTTCATTTTAAGTTAGTAGGAAAAAGAAGAATAAAAAATACCTAAAAAATCAAACAGTCACAAATATTTTTCCCAAAGAAATTCATCAAAATCTATAATATTTTTACTGATAAAAGTATATTTTAGAATAAAATCAGCTGTTCAAATAATTATTAATAATAATTATTATTATTTATTATTATTATTTATTGTTATTATTATTAACTATTATTATTAATTACTGTTATTAATAATTATTGATAAGTATTGTTTAAATTCTGGTCTAAAGGTGACAAAGCATGTGTGCACCCATCACTGGACAATTCCAGTCGTCTACTTAGAATAATAAGAAGTCGTGACTTGGATGTATTGTATGTAGGAGATCCAAGACTGCTTACATATACAGGTATAAATCAACCTTACTATCCCTTCTACTATCTCTTGCATGTACCTAAATTCCATTTTCCTCAGGGGCTGCAGAGCACCATAAAAAGTGTGTGTGTGTATGGTTTTGTTTTTTTGGGGGGGGGGGGGGCTAAGGCCTAGGGCAAATGTCAAACTTTCCATGCACCGAACTCAGTGCATGGAAAGTTCAACGTTTGCCTTAGGCCTAAGATTGGGAAATATAAGCGACTAGTATGGAAAAAGGGAAAAGGGGGAGCTGTAGCCCCCTCCCCTACCCCACCCCCTCTGAGCCCCCTATTCCTACCTATCTACCAGAGACATAAACCTTACAGGAAATTGATATTTTACAGAAGTGGAGCCAGAGTGATTTTAAGGGGATGTCATCTGGATGTCACCTAGAAAGCCAATATTTAATTTTTTTCTTTTATTCAGTAGTTATGTTAATTCTTTTCACAGTTGTAGTCACAGACTTTAGTCCCAGAAGTCCACTTCTTCCTCTCGAACTTCCCACCATCATACAGACATTTCTCATGTATCCTTTTTATGTTTAAATTGATCACTCAAGTGAATTTGGAAAGGTGTATTAAATTGCAAAGTTCCTTATTTTGTGACCATTAATTTGTGAATGTGTCAATCGTATGGGAAAAAAACGACCTGTGCATCCAAAACAAAAAGCAGTCTTATTTTTTCTTTGTAACATGATTTGTTGTCCAAAGTTCTAATTATTTTTATATACTTCACTTTATTTTAGCATTTTTGTGAGCAGTTGAACCCAGAATTATATCAGTGCCTAACAAAATCTATTAATGTAAATACTTCAAGTCACATTTGCCCTTAACATCCTATAAGATATCTTGTGTCATTGTCGGGAGCTTTGGCACTCCTCAACATGGTACCTTGTTACTCTCTGGATGGTCAATGGGCTCTTTTTGCCCTGGTAGAATATTCACTAGTAGATCTTATCCCAAATGAAGATCAAAGAAACACTTTATGTAATGTTATATTGACATTGGGTACTCTTCTCTTGGCAGCTAACATCACTCTTGCATTATGGACTCTCGGAAATGTATAATGAGTATAATATATACAATTATAATCTCATATCATTTTTACGGTGATTTATATAGTATTTATATTTAACTTATTTTTAATAAAGGTCAGTTGATGTGAATATTGTCAGTGTATATTTTTTTATATTTTTTTCTAAATTCTTGCATTCCTTTCTTTTGTCAACTGGTCATTTCAATATGTCAGTTTCAATACAGGTAAATACGATGCACAGTTTGCAGGAAGCCCAAGTTCCAGCTTGATTTTGCATGTTGCAGTTACACAGCAAATTAGTCACAGATAACAAGTCGTAACTCCCTGTCATTGCCGCGAATCAATAGAATTAACGACAATATGTTCATTTGTTTATTTCTAAAAAATACCAGCAAAGAACAAACACAACAAAACAGTGACATATCAATGTCTTTATAAAAAAGTCATAAATTGTATTAAGTCTGTACACAGTATTTCCTGCTTTATACTAAGTAAAAATGAGGTGCTGGTCAAATTGCATAGCAAAGGATATATGGATGTTCTATATATGTGTGTGCAGGATATATATATGTTATATGTATTTTATTGAATTCTACCCAGTAACAGGTATTCTCAAGAGGTAAAAAAATTTTTAGCCATCCACTAATAAATACAAATATATATTCACTCCAGTATTTTTTAAGATTCTTCTGGTTCAGGGTTTTCATCTGCCAGGGGTTCAGCGCCGAGTTCCTCACTTGGTTCTTCAGGTGCAGCAGTTTCTTCGCTGGGTATGTCTGTCGTTGGTTCAGGTGATGTCGTTTCTTTGATTATTTTTCTCTGTGCCGCAGCCTTGGCCATGGCTTCTTTTTCCTGTGCTTGACGAATTTCTTCGTCTAATTTTCCGTAAACACTTTGTCTCTTTGAAACAACTTCTCTTATGATAACTGCAACACAAGTAAAGAAATATTGAAGGTTAAAACACTGTTTCTCACAGAACCTACATTCTGAGGGGTTATGAGAATCAAACGCTTACCATCTAATAATGTTCTGGCCAACATAGATTGATCCAAGTTTTCATCAACTCTTTCCATGAGCCACGGCATGAAGTATGTTTCCACATCTATAAAATGAATAAAAGATTAATAAGTACAGAAGGGTATATGTGGCTCTAGAGAGTCTACTGAGGTGGACTGGTCTAGCTTGGATACACACAACACCATATAAGACATGAGTAACACCCTACTTATCTCAACACACCATCCCTCCCTTCTCTGCCAACATACAGACTCCTAGTGCACCCTTAATCCTCTCTAAATTATTTCATTGGCACCATGAGTAACAAGATGCCGTTTCAAATAGTTCCTACCTCTTTCAACTGGGTCGTAGAAATAACCATTCTCATTAAGTGAGCCAAATACAGATGGTACCAAATCAGCGAGATAACTCTATAAAAAAATGCAAAACAAATCAGTTGACTTGCTTTAAACTGGATAACACAGAAATGATTTTTAGTCCTTACTTGAGCAAATGCACGAGCTGCAATCTTATCTCCGGTCTCTTTTTCCTTGCGCAGAACCTCGGCTTGTTGCCTCATGCGTCTTTCCTTTTCCTCTCTGTGTCGTCTTTCTTGTTCTTCTAATCTCTGGGTTTCTACGAGTTCTGCATTGCGGAGTTCTTCGAATTGCCTCTGCTGTGCTCTGAGATTGGCTAGCTCTTCTTCTTCCATTACTTCTAAAAGAGCTTGCTCTACAGTTTTTCCAACTAACACTTCGAGTATGGGTTTTACTTCAATGTCAAAGTCAAACAGCTAGAATGAAAAAAACGAAAAGTAAGAAACAAGTAATAATAATGCAAATAATGTAGTAAAAAATGGATATAATAAGATAACTGAGTTCTAATTTCCACTCTGATCGGTCAATACCTCTCCATCCAGGATCTGTGTTGCAACATCAACACCAGTTTTAGCAGGAATAAACAATGGGGAAGGTGGTCTGTCCAAGAAAGCATCAGTCTGTGTCTCTACTTCAGCCTCTTCAACACGGTCGCTCAGTTCTTCCAAGTAAAGTTCTGTCTGTACATCAATGTGTTTTCTGCCAGTCACTGGCTCTGGTGAACGAGGTTGGAGCTGATCTTTAGCCCTCTTTCTGGCAATGGCTCTTCTTCTCATTTCTTGTTGTCTTTGGACTTCAATTGGATCTGGCTGGGCAGACTTTTGAAAAAAATAAGATTATATGAATGAATATGGATATTTTCTGAAACTACTAGTACATATTAAATATACCCTCCTCACCCTCCCGACCCCTCAGAAATTCCAATCCCCATTTGTAGTGGGAGGTATAGACATTTTCTCGAGCTATGCAATTTATTCTCCTTAGGACACCACCAAATACTCTCCTCAGACCCTCTCAACCTTCAGAAATTCCAATCCCTCTCCATGGGTGAGGTATGGATAGTTTTGGGAAATACACAATGATAGCAATCTTTATTTTGATTTCAGGCTTTGTATTATTCATGTCAATACTTACAGCTGGCAAAGTTCTCTGCGCATATGTGTTCCCTCTAACAATTCTTTTGTCGTACATAATATTACCATATGGCATTGGGGATTCATTTCTAGAAAATAAGATAAAATTCACTTTTTAACAAAAATATATATGAAACTATTAATCTTTTTAATGGCATACACTGACAAAATGAAATAATTATCAATATTTTTAGGTTCATTTGCAATTCATATTAAGACTTACTTCACTTTATATAGAAATATACGAATTGAGAATGAGATTTTCTCACATACATAATTAAGGGAAAATGAACTTGATATAAAAAAAATCTAAAGTTAGTTGGCTTAATTCTTAGTCGAAGTAATCAAACTAGAATTTTATGAATTCTTACTTGAGGAATATTTTTCCTACAACCATCTCCATGGTTTTACATGTCTTCAAGAAAAATCATTATCGCTACGATTTTATGTATTATACCGATTAACCAGTCATGTATCTGAGAAGTATTTTTATTAAGATTAAAGCTTTAATACCATAGGTTAAGCGAGGCATTTTACTCAAAAAAGGTTCAATATTAATAAAGAGTAAAGCGATCAAATATCGTATACAATGGAGTCGACAACAAAGCTGTCAGCAAAATCCTTCTTTGAATGCTTCAAAATGACTTCTGTTTTAGAAATCTGCGACACTAATAGCTGCAAATATCAATGCTTATGTTAGAAGCTCTACTTACTGTTGTGTAAGAGGATCTCTGAATTTTTTTCGTTGTTGAACGGGACGAGGTTGACTCGCGAAGGTATACGTCCTGGAAGGATCACCTTTTTGCGCCAAAACTGCAGCCATATTACTCTGATTATTTTCTATGACGAAGCTAGTACTTTCTTTAGACCCTTAAGGATCTTTCTGTGTCTTAATAAATTATTTTAAACGAGAAATCGTATCAAGAATAAACGTTTTCTTGAGCTGTTTTGAACTGCTTTCCTGTCGACTAAAACAACATGGCGTTGCTAAAGATCTATTTACACGTCAGGGTAACTATGACAACAAACACTACATTACCGCCAATAGTACGTTTGATGTTATTGGCTAATTATCGGTCTTATTCATCCAATTAAAATTTGTTTTATATAAAAGAACATGCGTAATAAGTAAATTACGAGCCTTAGATTACTTACTTACCGGGGGAGGGAGAGGAAGTTTGCTGTTTTCTTTTCAATCAAAAAAATCGTAGCAAAAAATAGCAAATTGTTTCCTTTTTTGATGGAAAATGAAAATACTTTTAATGTCATTGATTTTTTAGTAATGTTTACAATTTCTTTATATTTTTTATGACTTGATTGAAAAAATATACTCCTTACATACCCCTCCCTCCGTACAATATATAGTTATTGTCAACCAAGATGGCGGCGTCTGGAACAAGCTTTATACAACAAAATCTTGATCATCCTGAGATTTTAGATCGGGAAAACTTAATAGAAATCCTTTGTGACCGAAGTATCCCTCTAGATGAAATCAAAGATTTGGATAAGCAAGAATTAGTGAATTTGTTTTATAAATTTGTTGCTCCTTTGCCTCAAAGGTTACACCAACTCAGACGAGGTAAACGAGAACCACCAAAAACCACTGAAAGAACGCTTGCTAAAAAGACGGCAAATTCAATCAAAGGAAGAAAACGGTAAAGATAAGAAGATACTATGTTATTTTTTATGTTGTTTAGCTTGTAGGATAAAAATATGTTACTTAACTTTGTGAAAATATTCTTAAATGATTCTAACTTGCAATTGTCAAAATTTGACAAAAATTGACCCGATTATTAAACCATAGTTTATAATCAAGGCCAAAAGAGGACGTCCCCCCCTCCCCATCATGAAAAGATAGGGTCATGGACACAGGTATAACTGAAGGGACAACATGCATAATAGTTTATGACCAAGTTTAAAAACTATACTACAGGTTTGAGAGGGTTACATCAACAAGTGACCAAGTGTATGGAATGAATGTGGGAGGATTGCTTGATTTTGACCACCTGGATGAGTTGTTTGACCATTGGGTGGTGCACGCTGCTAATGTGTTGTCTTTCACAGCTGTAAGTCCAACGGGTCGGGTCATGGTTTGAGCCCTGCGGATGCCACATTTGAATTGAGTTTGCTTGATGTGTTGTTCTCTCCCTTGCCAAGAGGGTTTTTCTCCAGGTACTCCATCCTCCCTCTGTAAATATCAACAACACATGCAGTTCAATTTAAATCCCAACCACAGGCTTGAACTACACAACAATGAGAACATTTTAGTAGGTACATATGCCTTTCCCATATGTGTTTGGGCTAATAAGACACACTATCTATAACACTGGTATCTATCTTTGATTTCCAGACTTTCAGATGTACAAAATTCAGTGGTGAATGTCAAAATACCCAAATCAGACCTTGAGCATGTTCTCATCAACAATGGCCCTTCAAAGTTAAAGCCAAAAACCCAGGAAGCAGACTTGTCACCAAATACTAACCTTAAAAGACCTAGAGTGAATCAAGAAGATAAAGCAAAGCCTGTGAAACTTAACAGAAAGTTTGTTAATTTAAAACTAAGTTCGCCATCAGGAAATTCCAGCTCTAAATCAGTAAATGGCAAAAATGAAAAAACAGGAGCTAAGGAAAAAGACAGGAATCATGAACCAGAGGTATTTCATTCATTCATTCATTCATCCACTCTTCCTTTGTTCATTCATTCATTAGCTAGTGTGACTTTGGTAAAAAATTTAATCATTGTCATATATATTCCTTAATATATATATACAGCCATTTGCAAAAATTATGGCCGTTTCGAATATAAATACAAGTATATGGAAAGTATATCAGACAGGGCGGGATATCTTTCTTGATATTTTTTTCAGAAAGCCCTAGTAATAGACAACTCGAAAAAAATATAAGGGAGGCTATCCCATAATTTTTGATATGCTTTTGATATATTTGTATATATATTGGAAGCGGCCATAATTTTTGCAAATGGCTGTATATATATATTAATATATATATACACTCGATTGCAGAAATGTTGTAGTATACATTTATACATTTATACAAATATCTAATGAGATGCATGATACAAAATAACCATTTCCAATGCTTAAAACCAACTGATTTATAATCCATACGATCTAACAGACAAGAAAAAAAATATTTTGACAGTTACTGAATATTTTGACAGTTACTCAAAATATTTTTTTTCTTTTCTATTAGATCGTACGGATTATAGATCAGTTGGTTTTAAGTGGTGAAAATGGTTATTTTGCATTATGCATCTCATTAGATATTTGTATAAATGTATAAATGTATACTACAACGTTTCTGCAATCGAGTGTATATATATATATATATATTCATTTGTTTTTTAACCCAATTTATATTATTTCTAGACTACCTCAGACTCCACTAGCTCTCACTCAACTGACGAAGAACTCAAGCAAATAAGRAAGAAGTTCAAGGAAATATCTTGGCCATAGAACAAAGGTTTCTACTCCTCAACAATATCCAATTGAAATATCTATAGGAAATTTTAAGAATTTTCTTGCCTTTGTTAATGTATTTTTTATCAACCAATTTACTACAAAATAATTGTCATATTATTATATATAATGTCTTTTATCAAATTTTTCTGTGATGCTGAACTGTTAGATTCTGTGATATTGGGAATCGGGAAGCAGTGCACTCGCCTCTCACCTTTGGGGTCTCGGGTTTCGCTCTCCAAATCAGGCCGTTTCATAAATTGGAGGATTGTTACCACTCAAGAGACGTTTTATCACTCATATTTATAAGCTTAAGACATTTAGTAAATAGTTTTATAGTTTCAAAAAGATTGAAATTAAAGAAAAGTACAAAAATAATTTGAGAATCGGAGCAGGAAAATTAAACTGCTGTGCGTATTGCATGCCGGGAAAGAACAGCTTCCCGCTCTGGTTCAAAATAAATCATATGACAGCCTATTTACGAGGAATGACAAATAATAATTTTCCAAAAAATGACTACAAGATTACATACCGCAAAAGAGAGACAAAGTCCATGGATAGTTTGTGCGCGCGCGCCTTTTTTTGTAAGAGCTCGGTCTAGCGCGAGCATGGAAATTAAAAACTTGAATTTCAAATCTCGCGTCTGAAAGCCGTTTTTCTCGCAGAACGAGCTAAAAACCTAACAAAATATTTCAAACATTTTTATGACTTTTCGTTGCGGAGATCATTTATGGATATCATAAGTACCAATGTTCAAGGGTCGCTGGACTACAGTCGCCACTTGAACGAAAAGAGAACTCCCAAAAATACAGAAGTGAAAATGAAAATGGCAGATCGTCTTGGGTCCGAATCAACTGTTATTAAAATTATCGATCCCGTGAAAACCCAAAGTAACCCAGATTGTCCAAAATGTAATGCAAGAAAGAGTTTCTTAAGAAGAAAGTTCCTGACGAAGATCTTCGATCGATGGACTCTCGAAATGAAACTTCAACAATATGACATCGAGTTCATTAAAACTCGACATCCGTTAAATATTCTGAAAAAACACTTCACGTCGCTTGTGGTTGTCGGGACATCAGGTACCGAGTGGAAATTTCTTACAGCTGAGCTGCGAAAGTTGACTGTAGATCAGCTTTGCAAAGTAAAAACTGCTTTACGAACTTTGATTCTTAACAAGGAAAAAGAACTTCAAGTCGAGAAAGAAGAGCATTTCCTACAAACAACTTGTCAGAAGAATTTGAAAATACAGTTGCATGAGTTAGAGGTATTGGCAAGAAACATTATGAAACCTTACATCAACTTGTACCCGTCGTGCGAAGAACTGAACAGACTTATGCTCGCATAGTAGGTCAGTTTGGGATTTCCAAGAATAGAAAAGGCTAAAATAATTAAAGAATTTGCTACTTACCTGTAGCGAAAGCTTCGTGGAAAAAGAGTATTATTTATTAAAGTCAATTACTAGACTTTTTAGGAAGTAATTTTATTTTCAGTTTTTCATTTATATTAACTCCATGTGGAAAGATTTTGTCACTTCGTAAAATCACCTATAAATTGAACCGGACGAAAAACCGTTCGATATTACGTGTGAAGTGAAAATGAATTGTTCTGTTTTCATTATATTTCTTTTTTTTCCAGTCGTCTAATTGTAGTTTACGTCTAGCCAATCTAGTGATAGGCTGTTGTAGAGACCCCAAGAAGCCATTTCAAGACTTTGTAACTTTGCACTCCTAAATTTGCTGATTTTATCATTTTCCCCTCACTTGTACAATGTCCGCTCTCTTCACAAAGATACCCAATATCGTTTATTCATTCAATCGCTTGATTCTCGTAATTCGTGACTGCCACTAATCCTACTCAAAGTACTCGGGCACGGCAACGTCATGGTCACGGTACGTCACGGTTCGGCACAACACGACCAATCTCCGGTCGCACGAAAGTTGTTTAAAGAAGCCCTCGATATTTTTACGTATACCACGCTTGTAACGATAAACAAACGGTGATGACGGAGTTTGGTTGAAGGCCAAGTTGATATTGAGTTGCAAGGTGGCTTTTAAATTCAGGCTTCCGAATTCCAACTCCTAACCAATCGCTGGCACAAGAAACAAAGGGCTAGTGTAGCCATCCAATTACAATGCTGAAAGCCGTAAATCATTTCAGTGCCAAAAAATCTCACACTAATTCCTATTCTACGAATTTTTTTGTTTTTCATACCCAAATCCAATCTATCTTTAATGACTTAAACTTTAAAAGTCTAAAGCTTTCTCTTAGTCTTTTCTTTATTTGCCAAAAATCTAGAAATCCTGCTAGCATTTCACCTCTGGATGCCTGTATGTGATCTAGAAAGCCAAGTCAGTGTTTGTAAAATATTCGGAATTTTCAAAACAAATGGCCATTATTTGGTTCGTTGGCTAGAGTGTTCTCGAAGTTTATAGCCCTTAGCAACAATAAAACTTGAATCTTTTGAATATCGAGAATCATTATGGAAAAAATCCATATACAAAACACACCAGCTGAATGCAATAACGACCAACAAAAGTTAGTAAAACTTTTCGTTTGAATAATAAAAATTTCACGAGTTAATATAATAATTGGAATATAAGATAAGCATATTAAAATGATTTTAAGTAGTTTTTATAATCAACTTTCCATTTGGATGCGTTTAGTGCTTTCTGGCAAGGTTCATGTGACGTCAAGTTCAATTGAATACCCTAGAAGACAAGCATGACTTCATATATAATCTAAAACACGTTAATAAATTCATTATTTTGTTATACGAGACGCGGACAAGTCAAAAAGGTTTAACTACAGAGCTGTAATACCAAACTCGTAGAAGGGAGTGGACTTAAAACTTTGTATTGCTATCCGTTGCTGGAGTTAAATAAACAGATTTGCAGACATGGCAGAAGTGGAGCAAAGGCTTAACATTTGTGTGCGAGTAAGTATTACTGATCGTGAAGACCCACACTTAAAATGACCTACTTTATACTTCAGACTTCACTCGACATTGCTTCTCAATATTATATCCATTGGGTTTTTTTGTCTTAGAAACACTACATTAATATTTGAAGATAAACAACTCCAAATGGAAAATGTATTCCGTATTTACAATTGAATTGTTTCTAAAAAATATTAAGCTAATAAGAAACCCCATTTAATCTTAATTTATGAAATTCTAACTATGGATGCAAGATTTCATTTGTCTGGAATTATTTTAAGTTATTTTTAGTTAGGGTTGTAGTATTTTAATATGGTAGATAGCCTTAAGATATTTACGACTACATCTAGCTTAATTCAAAATCAACTGGTCATAATATTCATTACCTTGCACAAATCAATTCAGTTTTAAAAAATATGCATATAAAATAATCATGATTTTAAAGGGCCACTTGGACGAAAATCGTTCCAAAATTAAAACTCTTTCATTCGAGCTGGAACTTTGCTGAAATAATCTTGAACACATTAAGAACCTCTCACTGAAATATCTTTCTAATATTCGAAAGGGAAGGGCCAAAATTTTACGATTTTTTTTCGTCCGCCATTAATTTTTTGACTCAC